GGATTGATTTCGAAGCTTTTGTATTGACTCCGGGCTCCTGAATGAAGCTGTCATGTGTGTCTGTGGTTGGCTAGCAGGCTGTCCGGCTGCAAGCTGTGCCTTCCTTTGTTGTTTAGGCCTCATTGAGCTGAGGGAAGAGGCTCATTTCAGGGTGATTTACCACCACCCAAACACCAGCTGTCTGTTGTACTCCTGCTTGCCTCCACCTTGGATTCAGTTTCCCCCTTCTCCTCTCCCACTCTACAGTGTCCCTCTGTAGGCACTTGGGCATGATTTTCTCAAGACTTGTGTGTCACCCCTGCAGAACAGCATAAAAACCATAAATACTGATTATACTGTTCATTTCAATGTTTTTTTAAGCTCCCCAGCCCCCCCTTTATTTTTTATTCCCAGGGTTCACCATTGTGGTGCTATACAATTTCTTTTCTTGGTCAAAGAATGAACTGTGTCTATAGGAAAGAAATACATAATAAAACCACCACGTTCTCCCATGTTTTTTACTTAGTGGTCTAAAATAGTGCAAAATTGAAGTGGTTTCAAATAAAAGTAGCTGTGAGTCTCAGCAGCATGGCAACAGGTTGGATTGTTCACCTTTCTTCTGCAGGATATCAGGCAAGGTGATTGCAGAGGTGCTTCCCTGTGCTGGAAATGTTGGGATATTTGAAAAGATGGAGAAGGAATCAGAGAAGGACAGCATTGCTTACCTCCATGCTCATTCCTTAGCAGGATATTTCAAAGCTGGAAAGATGGGGAGAGCATGAGACATTTGAAAGCCAAGGTCAGATCTGGGACCTTCCAAGGTGAAATGGAATCTGTCCCCAGGGCTACATCCAACTTGAGTTTGCATCAGGGAAGCAAGAAGCAAAATAGTTTGTGCGCCTGACCCTGCCTGATGAAGGTGCAGAGTACCTGGACTTTCAAAGGAGGTGCTCAGCAGCTGCTGGCACTGTCCCACTTTTGGCAGTGTTCACAACTTTGTTGCTCAAAGGTCTTTGGAAGTGTGAGGGAAAGACTGTGCCAGTGCCTTGGGGGTGAGGGCATTGCCAGTATTTTCAGTGGCTGCTGCTCAAACATGAGGAATGCTGATGAGAGTTGAATAGATTAATGCCTAGAAAGACGTGGTGGTGGCAGCATGGTGAGTGGCACAGAGTTGCTGATCCAGGCCACCCCTTGTGCTGCTGTCTCTGGCCACAGATTTGGAAGAGCAGAAGGAAGACCTTAACACAGCTTGCGTTAGCCTGGGGTGCATAAAAACCTGCTTTGAGTGAGTTCCACCGCTCAGAAGGGTCAACTTTGGATGTTTGTGTAATAGGGTGAGGAGCCCATGAGCCCCTGAATGAAATAGCGCTCATCATCTGCAAACAACAGAATGGCTGCATGAAGCTCAGTGACCAAATTTTGCTTCTCATTCATTCTCCCCTCCCTACCCCCCCGGCTTCAATGAGACTCTAGAATCCTCCCATGAATCCCAGCCAGCTCTCCCCTAGCACAGAGCCTGGCGGCTCAGCAGAGGCCTGCCAATGCCATGTGCGTCATGTCTGACTCTTCTAAATGGGGCTGGCAGCTCTGAGCATGGCAGTGATGCTGGTGTTTGCCACAGCCTCCGGGGCAGCCCCGGCTGCAGGGATTTGTGCACTCTCCGGATCTGCTGGCGTGGAGGGAGTTGTGACTGGCCCTCATTTGACTTCTGGGTGACATGGTTCAGTGTTTCTTGACCACAGGTTTCTAAAACTAGTGACCACTCACCCATGAAGCTGAGATAATTAAGCTGGTTATAATTATTATTATTTCTATCTCTCTTTTTTTTTTTTTTTTCCCCTGCAAATTTTGGCCAACTGCCGGAGCTCACAGTGTGTTGAAGTTGGTGAACCCAGTGGGACTCACCAAGTGACAGGGATACAACAAGTAGAATATTGAGACACTTTTGCTTTCCTCTTCTGTGCTCACTAAGGAACCTTCTTGCTCCTCGCCTTGGGAAGGGGAAGTCTGATGTGTGGGAGCCAGCAGAAGCCAAAGCAAGCTCCTCTACTGGAAATGATTGTGCCTACCTGCTTCTAAGCCACAGCATCACATCAAGGGCAAGAAGCATAGGAACACTTAATAGTAATACATCTGTGAGTTTCCAAGATCACAGTGCTCCTCCCCAAATCTGTTATTAAAAGGCTATGAAACATGGAATGAGGTTTCGTAAATTAAGAGCGAATGTCTGTAGCACCGTCAAGACAAAGCTCTTTTCCTTCCCCTGCAAACATCAAGAGTGCAGGGCTGTCCTGCTGGATGGAGAAGAGAGGGATAGATTAGGAGGCAACAACCACGGTAGGATAGACCCGGTGAGGTGTTTTAATTTCTTAACAAACTCCTAGGGCACTACAAACTGTAAACTAACACAGAAATAAACAAACAAAAACTCGCTGACCCTTAGCACCCTGGAGGGCTCTGTTTCAGATCACTGAATAAAAGCTGAAGTTGCATATGCATGTTTAATATAACACAAGGCACGTGCTGCGGCAAGCATGCTTTCTTCTAATCTGGTTCCAGACAGAAGCATCCAAACAGAAGCCCCTTTCCCTATCCCCACTGAACTGCCTGGTGTATGTGAGGAAACCCCTGAATGACAAGGCCTCCATCTGCTCTTAAACGGAGTTGCGACTGGCTGCAAATGTTGTCCATATGCTTTTTTTTTTTTTTTTTCCTCCTTTGCCTTTCAACTTGGCTGCCTAATGTTAGACACCTATCCCCAAATTAAATATCAGTTCATAAAAAAGCTTTCCTAAAAAGCTAAAGGCATTAGCTAATTGAGTGATGCCCATTAAGAAAGGTACATCAGCAGTTGGAAATGGAAGGAGATAAGATTATTCAAGTAGTGCATTATTTTTGTTTACTTTCTAAAAGGAATGGAATAACCTTTGCATTCTTGCATTATCAAGGAAAAAAATGCAATCAAGTTTTGGGTTAATATCTTCTTTCTGTTCTTGATTGTCCATGTGATTATGATTCGCCATCACTTCTATGATACTTCCAGCCTTACAGAAGAACATTGATGTAGCTTGCTATGAGGTTGTTTGTCTAGGACTGCATCCTATAAGCCAGAGAAGGATGTAAAACATCAACTTTTTCCTTGATTTTTGGTGTTCAAAGTGCTGGAGCTTCTTATCGTGTGGTAATGGCTTTCTGTGTGCACTGAAATAAAGTGGCCAACCACAAGTGATGTATGGATCCAGTTGCCTAAACACAGGTGTGTTACTGCTATAGGCACCCTGAGATGTCTTGCCCATCTGTTAGGAAATATGGGCTCTCCCCTAGGCCCTCTTGTATCTCTAACTTGCCTTATGTACTTTTGGTATCTAGAAGGTCACCTTTGCTTAGGAATATGATCATCTCCCTGTTCTTTGTGCTCTCATTTCCAACATAATAACTTAATGCAATTACTTTACTTTTTAGTTTAATCATCTCTTTCTGGGGAATACTTTTTTGAACTTAAGATATTACAGATTGAGTTACTGAAGTTGTAGGTACGACCTTTACAGTGCCCCCTGTTTCAGTGTCTCTTTTGCAGAGAAAAGGTGGAAGAAAAATTTTTGCACATTATTGGGTCTTCCTGAGACTGGTGAAATGCTGGGGTCACCAAGAGAGACACCTGGCAACTTGCAAGCTCTCCCAAGGTGACCTGAAGTTTATTGGCCTGTTTGTAATTCCTGCCACCAAGGGTCAGCTCTCTGCTGTGCCCTGACAGTGAGCAATGGCTGCAATTCCTTTTAATCATTCCCTTTCTCTTCCTCATCATTTAGTTTAGAGCACTTCCACTTGGCTAAACTCATCAACTGCTTTAATGTTGCAGTATTCTTTTCAAACAAATACATCCAGATGAAATCTTATGATTATCCATGGCTACATATGAGTAGATTTTTCCCACTCTTGCTTAGCTGATGCTGAGAGTATTTGTTTTCCAGATGCAGACAGTGAAAGTTTTTGGAAAAAAAAAGAAAAAAAAAAAAAAAAAGGGCCAAGTGTGAATCTATGGGAAAGTATATAAATATTATGTGTTCTTGGGATCTCAATTGTGTTTTTGTTTGAACTTAATCAGCATTGTGACCAAACCTAGAATACCCGCCCCTTTCTGCTATGGGGATTTGCAAAGATTTGGAGATAATCATGTTCTGATAAAAGC